GAAAGGAATTTCCCTATTACAATATTTATAGAAGAAACATAAAAATAGTTCCTCAAGGTAATTACCTCTCCTGTCTTGGAATCTGCTAAGGCTTGGAAAGTCCTCTGCTCAGCTCCCTCAGGCCAAACACATCAGTGTTGCTAAAATAAACAAACTGCATCAACCTCCAGGAATAGCTAGCTACATTTTAATATCAGACTGTTCAAGTGGGAAGTCCTTCTAGATTCAAAAAAACAAATCATAACAGGTAATGAGGACGCTGTGAGAAACAATGAATGAATTACCTGTTCTAAGAAGAGGCTATTTATGAGAACCTGCTGAATGATATTATGTAGATGACCCTCTAGGACAACACTTTCCTAAGCTGGCCACTGAAGGGCCCACCACGGAAATCAGATTATCCCTTGTGTCAACTAATGTTCAAGAAAAGGCTTGACAGTCAAGACCATCTCTAACATAAAATAAAAAGAGTGGCAATAAGGGAGCAGAGAAGCAAGTGATGATGAAACTAAATACTGAGCAGAAGAAATGATGCGATGACAGTGTCCCAGTGACGCAGCCGCCTCGGATGTCCATTTGAGTAAAAGTCACATCAGCTGCTGTATCACCAGCTCGTCTTTCTCGGTGATACTATAAGTGCAAATATTTAACTGACTTAAGAGAGTAAAGAAACCATTCTACATTACAGAAATATATATTTAATGGTTACTAATATTAACATTTAATATTAATATTTAGTGAGTTTGGTAATTCTGTCCAACAAATGTTCTCTCTAAATAATAAATTCTATCTCTACTGCATGTTGTGTGTATTTCCATTATCTTTCTTTTATAAACCTCACCTCACTTTAGTAACAACAACTACTTCAACTGAAAGAAATCTGGAAACTCAGAGGCCAAGAGTGATACAAAATCTGTTTATGCAATCCATAGGTAAAGAAACAGCAAGTTCATAGAACAGCTCAAAAGCACCAGGTGATTCGTTAGAGCAACTCCTCCCGTGAGCTGACTTGTGCTGGGCCATTTGAATTCCAGCAGCTTTTTACGTAGAAACACCTAACTTAAGGCTGTGCATGGAAGTCTAAGGGATGAACCATCACATCGCTAACTATCCCTAATAACCCCCGTAAAAGAACATGATTTCCTTTCCAGTGGTCATAGAAAGGGCTAGGGATGTTAGCCAGAGATGGAGGTCTGAGAATAATACTTCCAGTGAAGACAAAGGAGACTTCCATCAGTCCACACAGAGCACACGTCTGTCCACACAGAGCACACGTCTGACCACACAGAGCACATGATTTCCTTCACTACTGGAGGTTTTTTAATTTAACTCACAACAAGCCAGATGACACTTAAGGCATTCCCAACAAGATGTCAGGAAAGTTATTCTTCTGTGATTTTCAACAATTGTGCATTCTTCTGAGGAGAGTCTGAATAACCTCTATGAATTGCGGGCACAGCTACAAATAGTGCACATATTATTGGGCCTAAGAGTCAGAAAGTATTTCAACACAAATTATTACATGAAAGTTTTTAAGAGCATTAGTGTTTTAATTCTGGGGCTGAATGTAAGTATATCGCTATGCATGAACCATCTCCCATCTAATCTTTACATGCTGATCTTTCCTATCCATGCACCCAACAACCTAAGACATGTTTTTAATGTGGAAATATATTTTGGCAAAGATTCTTCTCACCCACTCAATTCTTAACCATTTGACTTCTAAGTGATTCAGTTCCAAATCAGACCTACCTACTACCTACATGGTGAGAGTGTTTATTCTGCCAAGATGATGCAACGTGCTTTTGTTTTTCCACTGTTTTGTTGATAATCACCCTGGACACATGAAGCCACCGTGGCCCCTGAGAAGTGAGATAAGACTAATCATAGGTGGTGAAATGCTGACGTGCTATTACAGGATGCTCAGCATTACTACAGATTCGTCATTAGCTTTCAGATGGTGCATCAGCACTCATACATAGTATTGATAATGAATCAGATGATGTAACAACAGAAACAATGATTATTTTTATTTGGAAAAGGGTTTTAAAGACATTATATCAGTATGCTATAAAAGTTTTCAGAGTATCAGATGTTAAAAAATCACTATATATGCAGGCATTCTCATCATTCTAAATATGTTTTGTAGGTGTGTGCTTCTGTGGTCTTGGGTCTTATTCGTCCATTTATTTTTCCCATCTGTCATTATTAGTCATGATAATATAAATGAATAGAAAGTTTACCTAAGCTTCATCCTATAGAATCAAAGTCAACCTATAACTACATCAATGCAATGTCCCACAAGAAAGATTACTGCAATAAATGAGGTTTGTAAAGGCATTATTTATAGAATACTTACAGATTAAATATCTCATATCATGTGCTGTGTCTTAATGAGTAATTGCTTATTGGAGAGAGAAATTTGTTTCAAAATGATGAAGAAATGATTTACAAATACATGATAAATTAATATTTGTTTTTCTGTTCCTCCATGAACACACACAACACACACACGTTGAGATTAACACAAATGCAAACCATGCCCCTAGAAGTCTGTGCAGGACAATGGCAGAGTCAGGTGGCTTGAAAAATATCAACTGCAGCTTTCAAATCAGGGACTGCAGAGATGGCTCAGTAGTTTAAAAAAAAAATGTTGCTCTAACAGAAGATCTGGAGTTAATTACCAACAACCCATGATGACTCACAACTGTCTGTAATGATGATTCCAGGAGAACTAAGGCTCCCTTCTGACCTTTGCAGGCACCAGACACACATACCATATTCATACATAATTGAAGACCAAACACTATGCACATGAGTAAATCTAAGGGAACTTTTTGCTTTAACTTTTTAAAATTCCAAACAAAAGGAAAGAAAAGACTAACATGGATGAAAGGAAAATTAAATGTGCCCCCCAAAATCATCCAAAATGTATGAGCTCATTAATCAAATAGCTGGGCATCAAAGGAAAAACTGTAGGGGAAAAAGGGACATCTGGAGCAGGAAACCAACCAATCACTAGGCACCCTGATTCTGAACCCAGAGCCAGTGAAAGAAACACACCCTGTGTTTGAGACCTGAGCCAGGGAAAGGAACATCTTTCTTTATCCTTGATCCCAGGACCAAAGAAATATGCCCTGACTCTGAAACTAGTGTCAAAGAAACACACTTTGTCCCTAGAATTAGAGCCAGTGAAAGAAGTATGCCCTGGTCCTAAGATTAGAGTCAAAAACCTAAAATGGACCAGTGAAAGAAACACAGTTTGGCCATAAAATCAGAGCCATCTCTGCCCCTTGATGTGGGAGTGATTTCTTATTAATAAAGAAACTGCCTAGACCCATTTGATAGGCCAACCCTTAGGTAGGCGGAGTAAACAAAACAAAATGCTGGGAGAAAGAAGCTGAGCCAGGGAGTCGCCATGGTTCTCCCACTCCAGACAGACGCAGGTTAAGATCATTCCTGGTAAGCCAGCTCGTGGGCTACACAGATTAATAGAAATGGGTTAGATCAATATGTAAAAGCTAGCCAATAAGAAACTGAAACTAATGGGTCAGGCAGTGTTTAAAAGAATACAGTTTCCGTGTAATTATTTCGGGTAAAGCTAGCCGGGTGGCGGGACACAGCCGACCGCTCGTATTTCAACAGCCCCTGACCAACTAAACTGACCAATCCCTGAGCAGGGAAAAACTAACCAATCCCTCTTCTCCCTGGGAAACCGGCACCCCTAAGAAGCCCTATATAAGGCTCTCTGCCCCTTCAGTTAGGGGCCACTGTTAATCCCTCCCTGGCAGAGGAGCCACTCTCCTGGACTCCTCCTTCCCAAATAAATCTCTTTCTCAAAAAATTTATTTGGGTGACGACCTTCATTAACTGGCACAGACTAGAAGAATAGGCTGGAACATCCTTTAGGGGACTGAGCTGAAAAACCTTGCTGAGACGCTCCCTAGGGGGCCTGAGGAAGGCAGAGCAGAACAGAACCTTGCTAGGATGCTTTTTAAGGGGGTCTGAGCAAGGCTGGGTAGAAAAAAGTAACAACTTTTCGCTGGAGCCAGAGAAGATTACTACATTCTGCAGGGGCTTCCCCTTTAGCAGAATGTTAGCAAAGAAGAAACATTTTGGGCCAGAGAAGAAGCAGATAGCTCTGCTAGGATCTTCCCTTAAGCGAACAGAGCAGAACTCTGCTGTAGCAGCTCTTCAGGAGAAGAGTTGGAAAACTATAACTTGCGGGGAGACCATCCCCCACCACCACCCAGCTTCAGGTAGTTAGTTAGGACACCTGTCCTCCAGGCCTGAGCTGTCCTATTGCAGCCCCAGCCTCCAGAGCTGTCCTATTGCAGCTCTACCCCTCCAGAACTGTCCCTATTGCAGCTCTATCCTCCAGGCCTGAACTGTCCTATTGCAGCCCCAGCCCCCAGAGCTGTCCTATTGCGGCTCTACCCCTCCAGAGCTGTCCTGTTTTGGCTCCCTACCCCTCCAAAGCTGTCCTATTGCAGCTGTAAATAGAGCCTGACTTCCTGATAAGTCTGGATATCTCTGCAACACTACAACTGTAACACATTCCCCTACAAAAACTACAAATTATCAATAAATATTTGAAAAAGTGTTCAACATTCTTAGACATTAGAGAAACATAAACTAAAGCTGCTTTGAGATCACTTGATGGGTGGTTATCTTTAAATTAGTGAATGACAATGATACTGGTGAAGATGTGGGGAATGAGGAATCCTTAATCACATGTGGTGAAAATATAATATTCTGCAGTCACTATACAATTCAGAATAAGATTATTCAAAACTGAAAATGGAATTATGATGTGGGATTTCCCTCTGCATGCTGTGATTACCACTAATGAATAAAGAAACTGCTTTGGACCTATAGCAGGGCAGACACTGGGAACTTTACCTGGTAAGCCACAGCCACATGGTGATACACAGATTACTAGAAATGGTTTAAATTAAGATGTAAAAGTTAACCAATAAAAAGTAAGAACTAGGTTCAGTAGTCGCGGTTGGTGGGCAGCAGCTGAGCCAAGATGTTGCGGAATCTGCTGGCCCTCCGTCAGATTGCCCAGAGGACCATCAGCACTACTTCACGGAGAAATTTTGAAAATAAAGTTCCAGAGAAACAAAAGCTGTTTCAGGAGGATAATGGAATCCCAGTGCATCTGAAGGGCGGGGCTGCTGATGCCCTCCTCTACAGACTCACAATGGCTCTGACAGTTGGTGGAATAGCATACGCCATCTATCAGTTAGCCATGGCTGCATTTCCCAAGAAGCAGAACTGACTTCATCATCCCAGGCTTCACATGGTTCAATTGCATTCAGCGCTTGATGGACCAGGAATCTGATGAGTAACTGAGCTCTTTGGGGATCGCTATTTATTGATGTGTACTAACTGTCAGCAATAAAGCAGTCTTTACCATAAAAAAAAAAGAGTAAGAACTAATGGCCCAAGCAGAGATTTAAATAATATAGTTTCTTTGTGGTTATTCTGGGCAGCCAGAAAACAAACAAGCAGCTTCCTCCAACAGAATTACCAACTATGTCATTCCTGGGGACAGACACACACACACACACACACACACACACACACATAAACACACACACACGATGAAAGCAGAAGAGAGAACTATTTGATGGGAGAAGAAGGATCAGCAAGAGGGCCAAGAGTGGGTGGGGCAAAGAAGTACAGTGAGATGAATAAGACCAAAGTACAGTGATATATCTGCATGAAAATATTGACGTGAAACCTACAATAATAATAATAGCATTAAAGTGGATGAAAGCTTTAAGGGAGATATCTCAGCTTATGAAGTGCTTGCCACACAAGCACGAGGACCAAATTTTAAAGCCTAAAGCCCATGTAAGGAAGCTGGGAGTAATAATACATGTTTGTAATCCCAGTAATAGGAAGGTTGAAAAAGATTCACTAGCCAGTCAGCCTAGCCCAATTAGCAAGACCAAGGCCAGTGAGAAGCCCTGTTTCAAAAACAAGACAGATAACTCCTAACAAAAGACACTTGACGTTTACATTCTGACCTTCAAATGCACATGCATGTGTATCTGCACATACACACACTGGGGGTGGGCAAGTAGGTAGTAGCATAATCTTTAGCAAATAAGATAATATATTTGAGAGACAGGAAGACCTCTGTGTTTACACTAGAATATGCTTGTCTACAGAGCACATTCTAGTACAGCCAGGGCTACACAGAGAAACCTTGACTCAAAAAAAAGACAGAAGAAAAAGAAAACACATTTGAATCAATCTTTCTTTTATTTTACCTGTGTCCTTCATTCTTACTTCCTACCTGATCTACAAAATGAGGAAAATAGTATACATTGCTCATGAGATTCAATTCCTGTATAAGCGAAATTACATTCCAAGCACAATGCTTAGAATTAGTAAGCACCTTGGAAGTGTGTATTGTAGCACCTGCCTAATGAGTGATGCCAACAAGTTGGTGACGAGTAGAAGTGAGGTAGAGATCCTAGAGAACAGAGCCATCAAAGGAAAGCAGGCACAGGCAGAACATTCAGTGAGACTTGAAAGATGACTAACACGTGAATGTGCAGAGATGAATGGTGGGGTAGCGCAGGCTGTTGGGATAGAGTAACTGATGGAGACATACATCATGGATGTTCTACCAACCTAACTAGAGCAGAAGGTAGGGCTTCCAGTTTACCATAACACAAAGCTGTAAAAAGAACAGGGGACAAAGGAAGACCCCTCAGTACAACCCTTCATAATCTGCACTCATTCAGTAACAGGGACTAAAAGAGGTTGATAATTTTGCACATTATTTAAAATGTGCACAGAAATTTATGGGATCTAACTTAAAAAAAAACCCAAGATAATATTATAAGAGTAATTGATGATCTTAGATGCATGTTTTTATTTGTCATGGCTCAGCCACATCACACTCGGTTTCAGAGAGATGTGCAGAACTCTGACTTCCAATACAAATGTAATAGCTAATCTATTTTTACCTAGCATACTAAGTTTGGCCAGCTGAGATCTCTAAGGGTAGGAACATGGTGCAACAGCAAACAGAAATTGCTTAATGAGTCAGTTGTGTGTCTAGTCTTGTAAAGAAATAGTCTACAATATTACATCACTCTGATTATAGACCAACCATTCCTCACACCTCACTAATTAGAAGAGCACATCGAGTAATGATTATTAATATTTAACATCATGACTTGTAGGACATACCAAAGATTTTTACATATTTAACATTTTCTGAGATCCAACTTTTAAGATTTTGATAATTGATAATCTTAAAGAATTAATGATTAATGTCAAATTTAATACTTCTATATGTTTCAGGGTTTTCAATATTTTATCTATGAATAGCTGTAAAACATTAAAGAATGTCACCTCTGTCCAACTACAGACTTCAACAGACACAAATAAGTACTTTTTGCCTTTGTAGAAATTCTCTTTTATCCAGAAATAATTTTTAATAGTAAACATACAGAAATTTCTCACAAATCATCTTGGTCCTGTGTTTATTATTTGTCTCCTTCCAGATAAAGGCTATGGTTCTCAGGATAGATAGACTTCAGGACCATACCTTAAAGTTAGTACAATGAGAGATAGCACTGGAGATGCTTCACAGAAGGACCTTGAGCCCAAAGCCATCTTGAGCTTTCTAGGGGTAATAACAACAATAAAAAGAAACAGAAGTTGCTACAAAACAAACATAAATAAAGAGGTAAGAAAGTGTTCATCTTCTTTTACCAATGAAATTACACTCTTTACAGCTGGAAAATATACCACGTATCCTTTGAGCTGGCCCCAAAGGAAACTATAAATGAAATATATGTTGTTAACACAAATTCCATTCACCATCACTTCCCAACAGAACAAGGCTGCCTCTGCAACACGTTTGCGTCAACAGCCACAACTGGACTGGTAGGGAAGGGAATGGATTTTGGAGGAGTTGGAGGAGAGGTGAATATGATCAAATAACACATAAAATTCAAAATAAAAATAATTAATATATGGTATATATTATATATGCATGTGTGTGTATTTATACACACACACACACACACTCATTGTCCTCGAGTCCTGATGCACAGAACTTTGTGTTCACAAAGGATTTTCTGCCTTTCACTCAGTAGCTCTCAAGTTCCTGTTCATAACTGAGCTCAGTCAGATAAAATAACTAATAGTCACAAGAATGAAATATATAATGAAAATAGAACCTAAGCCTGGGAAAGTGTGATCAATAAAGAACCTGAGTTTCAGTAGATACATTTGAAGCGAGTTGCCTTAACCATTGGGAGAGAAAAATGGTTGCCATCTTAAAAACCATAGAGTACTTGAGGACAGATGGACTCGGGAAGGACTCTTTCAAATCAAATCATTCATAGTATCCCCTCCATCCTAGTCTACCTACAGGGTCAACTCTACTTACACATATCTACTGCCATTTTATTATATGCATTTAGTTATTTGAGAGAGGGAGGCTATTACTACTTTCAATCAGGGACTACATCAAGGGCAGCCCCAATTTTTCCACTCTAGACAGCTCTATACACAGCCTAGGGCTAAGGAAATACTTCTGTTTCCATCCAGTCAGGTCCCACAACGATGACCCAGCACAGAAGAGCTGTGAACAGCACTGCATGGGATGAGGTGATGCTGCAGATTCAGAACACAGCTCAGTCACAGTGACCTTCCACAGCCAACTGTGGACAGCAGTGGAGAGCGGGAATACCAAGCCCCTCTTCATCCTTGCAAACTTACTAGTCTGACTTCTGATGGACAGAACCTCTGTAAGAGGTTGTTGATGGATAATCATAAATAATAGTCAAGTTTGTAGTCATGTTAGTTAATATTTTCTAGATGTGCGTAGATATATTTTAGATAGGCATTCTTCATATTTTTCAAAGATTATAGAATATGGCATATTAAATGTTTTAATAACTTAGGACTTTTCATGACAATGAGACACTCTGCTCCTGGCAACACCAATCTACTTCAAGAGGAAAATGGGCATCGAAGAGGCTCGTTATGGAGTTTGATAGCCATTTGGGCAAGAAAATGCTCTTGCCTGGACTATTGCATAAACTGGACACAGAGAACCCACAGAGAGAGGACTACTGAACTTGCCTAAGGTGAGATGATCTTTCGGGGTTCCTGATTCATGAAAGAGTCTGCGAGACATTCTGCAGGACACAACAGATAGTGACTGAACTGACTTTGAATTTTCCTGCTTTATGGAAATGTCTGCTGGATACCATGGGCCTGAAGGCTGAAGATGGATGCCCCAACGGTACAGAGGAACTTTGGGTGACTGTCTAGGCAGCGAGATGTCTCTGTCATTTCTAGAGTTTTAAAAGTTGCTTTTTTCTTGTTTGCTTAGGTAGTATTGTATCTTTCTGGAGTCTTTGATGGAGTTTAGACTAGTTAGTTATAGTTTTCCTTAGTTATGAAAAGATTATTGTAACTTTTACTTGATAACTGTTTTGTTATATGTAATTTTGCTATGTTAAAATTAAAGCCTTTTTTTTTGTTGTTGTTGTTTAAACCGAAAAAGGGGAAATGATGGAGGAAGGTCATTGGTTAAATAAAAAGAAACTGCTTGGCCCTCATTGGTTAGAAGATAGGTGGGAGGAGTAAACAGAACAGAACGCTGGGAGGAAGAGGAAGTGAGCTCAGACTCCACAGTTCTCCTCTCGGGAGCAGACGCCTCAGAGAGATGCCATGCTCCTCTCTCGCTCTCCCAGGCAGACACACGTGATGAAGCAAGCCGCCAGGTTAGACATGCTGAACCTTTCCTGGTAAGACCGGTGCTCACAGATTATTAGAGATGGGTTGATCGGGATGTGAGAATTATCCTGTAAGGGCTAGAGCTAAAGGGCCAACCAGTGTTTAAATGAATACAGTTTGTGTGTTGTTATTTCGGGCATAAGCTAGCCAGGCAGCCGGGGTGCTGGGGATGCAACCCCGCCGCCCCTATTACTACAGCTTGGCACATCCCTTATCTCAGGAAGTGGGACATGGAACAAAGGTCCTGTACAGAATAGTGAACAAAAGCAGTCTCTTCACTGGCCCAGGAGCGTGCTATCCAATTCAGTCATGCGGATGACAAAAGGGCTCCCAGAGTGTCCGCAACCTAGTAGGAGTCATCTCACCACCCTTAATTTTTATGATACTTGAAGCCATTATACATTGCTACTGAGTTAAAGTATCTCAGTGACAGTATTTTATAATCCTCTAGTGTTCCCTGAGCACATAAGAGGAAAATGAGAGAGACTGGGATAGACAGGA